CCGACTAAAAAATAATTCATACAAAAAATGTTCTGCTCAATTTATACTAGCTTGTATTGAGTAAAATTGTATCACATGAGAAGTAAAAAGACACTTTCGAGATGTGGGGAAAACCAGCAAACTATAATCATTAGACAAAAAGGGCAACATTTCACTTCAAAAAAAGCAAAAGCCCTTCCTCAATCTCAAATCCATCACCTCCATGAGTATCTAGGTCACTGCCTACAAGAGTTTTCGAGGTCCGACATTTGAATTATCTAACTCATCGAAGGCAGTAATTTATTTATATAAAATGGCAGGCGTTTTGATAGTTATCATTAGCCCTTTAGTTGACTTCGGGCTTCACAGTGGGGAGGAACATCAAGGTGCGAAAAAGTGGAGAAGGGGAACAGAAGAGTGATTCGTATATGCAAGAGACAGACACAAAGGCAGAGAAAAGGTAAGATGAGTACTGTGGAAGTGGTGGAGAGACATACAGAAGGGTGTTGGTAGTTTGATGCCAGAAGTCAACTGCCAGTTAATATACCCAATGGCGCATTAATATTAGCAGATAGTCAATATTTTGCTCCCTTAAAATTCAAATGCGAACAAGTTAACAAGAATATGAGACAGAGCTAGAAATTATTTTAAATTCAAACCTAGTTTTAACCTTTGAATCGAACAAATAAACTTGTTATTTAATATGAAAATATATTAGCAAAATACCATATTCAATCTACATTCTAAGGATACCCACCTATTACCTTTCTTGTTTACTGTAAATTAAAGTTATGCATCACAGTCTCCAAATATATTTCAAACACTAAGCAAGTGCTACTAGCAGTTATTTTTAATAGTTGATGCTTTGAATAAACACTAATAGAAATAATTAGATATCAGAGGAATCAAATTATATTTTCGGGAACATAGTCCACAATTAATGTTTCAACCAAAATTCGGCGATACTTTCAAACTTTACCTTTTACCTTACTTGAAGAGAATACATTGGAATTATAAACTAGAAAATGGTGTTAATAAACGAAGCTCGATGCAGCAGTTTGTGGTACGGCGTACTAAGACCAAATTAAAGTCGAAAATCATCCGCATTGACGGGGCCAAGCTATCGAAAGTAATAAATATAACTTGGAAGTTAGAATGTCTTCAAGCAACTGGTTTCCCACAATACCTCTTCTCTAGGGGGTTTAAGTAAAGCGCAACAGAGTGATATCTACTGGGTACGTATTTCATAGGCTTTGTAGCCTATCAAGTTAAAGAGCTTTAAGATCCATGTTTTGTCTGCAAATAACCTGCAATCATCATCTGTAGAACAGGCCAACCAAAGTTTCTAAAAAATGAAGGGTTGTATGTATGTGAAACCTCACCAATATCAAAATAATGACTCATAAGTGCGACTGACAAGCTGAATTGTTATCAAGTTATATAATACGAAAAATTGTGTAATTACAGTGTAGTGTAATTGATATTAAGATAATTAATGAATTAATTTCGCATTCTATAACTCATAGCGTAGTATTTGATTAGGGTTTCTTTTTGCTAATAGTCTTGGAAAAGAGAAGCGACGTTACATCCAATATCATTCTCCTTGTCACATTCCAACATTCCCCCCCCCCTTATTTTTGCAGATTCAATAAGTGCGATAGCTTTGCGGGGGATTCCATTAAGCAACAGTTAAGATGCTCACCTAGTAGTTGAAGCTGGAGGCCCTTTAGATTTCGCCGGTAACGCTGACTTAGATTGGGAACTAGCCTTCGGTGAGTTTTTAAACATTGAAGAGATAACTGAGGCAGCAACCTTGGACGCCGCATCACTAGGACGTCCACCAGACAAAGGAGGGATTTTGGAGAGAGAAAATTCCCTATGTTCATCCTGACTATCCCCAGCATCCCCATCATCACCAAATGTAGTAATGTATTCCACTTTATTTGAACGCCTTCCACCACCACGACGATATCGACCAGCAGTAGATGAGTCAGAACTCGAGGATCGGGATTTCGATCGACTTGAACGCCACCTTCTACCTGGACGATCCCGGAAACGTCGACGCCTCTTTTTGGGATCACAGAAGGCGACTAGAGTCAGGCCACCAATGAGCACCGATGGGCGTTTGCAGTCATAGAGAGAGGGTTTTGCGGAAGAGAGGCCTTCACCACCCTCTCGCATGGATCTACGTCGTTTGTACATGGGTTCTTCTTCTTCTGAGGATGGTGAACCATAACTTGCGGAGTCCGAAGAAGCTCCGGAAAGGTAGATTTTTCGACTGAAAGGAAATGAAGAAAATAGGATATTCATGGTCATCTTATAAAGTACTACAGAAATAGAGTTTACACGCCACTACTTTTAAAGTCTACTTGTACCTATAAGCAATATGAAAGCTAGTAAATCTGTGCCAAAATGGTCAAATGTTTTCATAACAACTGAATAAATACGAATAAAAAGCAACACATTCCATTAGACATTGCTTGCATGGTCTAGCTCAAAATTAATATATTCAATATATTGACATACTGGCATACAAAGAAGACATGAAGAGAGGCGTAGGCCCTGTACACTTAAATATTCTAGCCTCGACTAACTAAGCGGGTTAAGGATGCAGTTAGACACACCAACCTGAAGTCAAATAATCGCAATTTAATGGAACACAAATAATGAACACATACATGGATTCATTAAATCGTTACCAACCTTTTCTGAGCTTACTACTTTATTTCACTAAAGCAAAAGCTGATTGTTTCTCAGCTCTATATCCTGATAATCCCAAAGTTTGAATGACCTTTCCAACCTCTTAAGCATTCCTGCTTGGATGCGGTGAATAATAAAAACTTAATAAAAACACACGCACCAATCAACACCCACTGTGTGCATTGAGAAATCTAAATAAAACACTATTTGTTTCCTTAAAATCGGCAAATTCTCTATTATTTTGTGTTTTAACTTACCGAGTAATTGGCTGTCCGTTGAGAAGTCCAACTCTATAATGAAAAAGCAAAAATGCACTTTCACAGAGAAGAGAAGGAAAGTGGACGAATAGAGGCGTGCGGAGTAATGGAAATGCAGTAGACGGTAAGAATAAATGCTCACATACTTCGGTCCTGAAGCATTTGGACCATACTTATCAAATTCGTGTCTGGCACGATGTCTGCGCCTGGGTCGGCGGTACTAAAAAAATAGAAGATAAAGTAAGCCTGTTTGTAACGAGGCTTAAAATAATTATTCCATACCAAACGAAATCCAAAACCAGTTCAAAATACATACTGAGGGGAAAGATATCATTTTAAAATGGTAAACACTGCACAAACCTATGAATTAATACGGGATTGAAAAAGCATTCTTTATTACATAATACAATATCCACACACACACACACACACTCACACACACATAAGCGATACATAATTGCTCACATTCAAAGAAATATTGTCTACTAATTAAACCAGAGATAATCGATGATGAGAATGGTTCCCTTTCATATTTTATTACATTATTAGTAACTGGAAAAAGAAAATTGATTGTAAGGAAAATAAACGTAGCCACTTTGTAATTTAAGAAGCTATTCGACAATATTCACGATTATAAACTTGAATAAAAGTCGGTAATTTAAAACCCAGAGATGGGAGTAATCATGCTCGTTACTGAAAATGTTCTAGGTGGGTAATTGAGAAGAGATTCAGCAATAAAAAGATATAAAAACAACCCAACTTTTTAGATACGCATGCAAAGTTTGATAAGGATATATACGATTCTACTATACCACACCTTTGGGCATTGTTACCTAGAGAAGAAAGACGTACTACTAAATGCCCAGTTTAAACATCCAGTGGATAGAATATGCAAATGATTGCCAAACTGATCGACAATGTTTCTACCCATTAGAAGATAAAACATTTTGACAATCACTCCACCTTAAACATCGGTGTATGCGCATTTGACGATGAAATTAAACAAAAGGAAAGGGCTTACATGCTGCAACTTTTCCTCTTCCTGGATTTTAGCAGCACGCATTTCTGCCTCCAAAATCTGATCAGCATCAAGAAGTCGAACGAAGTCAGTTCGCTTCATTCCATAATTGTGGGAACAGTCGATTAACTCCTGCCTTTGTTCTACTTCGAGTGAATCCAAATCCAATTCTACGTCTGCATTTTGAGATAGCGAGGGAAAAATCATACAAATTAGAAGATAGCAAATTTAATAAATAACTCGAAAACGAGTAACTGTGCAGCATACAGCTGCATTAATTGGTACAGTTGAAATCAACAAAAATAACATACCAATATCTACATCACTGTCAATATCTGAGCCACCTGAGTCCGAATTCGCAGTCTGCTTCGATGATTGGGGCATTTTGCCCGCAATAATCTCGCCATCTTCATAAACAAAACCAATAGCAGCCTTCGGTTCTGGTCTAAATAGAAGGCACTGGTAAATAGAATTTCAAAAAAAGTTGGATAAAATTGAGAAAAAGTTACTCACTTTTTATCTTTGGAATCACCATCTTGTTTTTTGTTCAGTGAATCGCCGTATTTTTCTTCCCTTTCAATCTGTTTCAGTGCCATAGACTCGGTAACTAAAGATTGAAAGAGTCAGTTCGGTGGAAAAGCATAAAACAGAAAGAAATCTTTCCAACAAAAATCCCCAGCATATGACTAATAAAAGAGATCGGTCTAACATAGTCTCCATAGATCAATGGAACACTGCATTAAAATGGTACAAATGACGAAATAATATTACCTCCTAAAAAGTCGTTATGAGCAAGACATCTATAGCGCTCGTAATTGCAAAGACGTTCTTCAATCTTATCTTGTGTAGTAAGCCTAGTTAGGAAAAAGAAAATCGAAATAAAGCAGTCAATATGAAGTTATGGTTGGACTTAACCACTGAGATTACTTAATATCTGAATTCTTTGTAGAAGAATACATTTCTAAATTTGCTCTTGCGTCAAAGCGATCAATAATAATTGATGGATCACCAACCCAAGGCATCCTAAAAGAATAAACTGGATTTTAAAATTGAATCATATGTAGTGAGTGGGCCTAAAAGCCAGTATTAACTTACATATTTTTGGGATTTTCTGCAGCTTTTCTGACCTCAATATCCAAGTTTATTTTGGCAGATGTACCATAAACACGAATAAACTTTATTGGATCTTGGCGCTGAAAAAACTGAATAAAACGAAAATGATATGCCCACTATTTGTGAATAAAAGTTCAGTCGTCTTTCAGTCCTTTTTCGGTGATCTACTAGGACTGAACGAATATGCTTTTCCTGTTTTCTAGCTTCCTGCCACATTATAATCGCAAGTACATAAAATCAAACACGACGATGCAGATAATTCGAATTCAACGCCTAAGGTTGAAAGATCGTTTGTGAAGAAGGTCATACTGTAATAATATCGAACATTTAAACCACATTTTAACTGAAATTGTTCGAAAGTATGTATAAATGATAAAACAATATGAGAACTCTTCATAACATGAATTTAAGTTATTTTTTCTAAGTCATTGTAATAATAAAAATTTAATCGACTAAATCGTTAAAGCTCTATTTCTAACAGTAAATTTAGTGAATGTTTTAGCTTTGATTTAATTTGTCAATATCAAGGAATTTAACATCTGGAAAATTATGGAAATATTTTAATTACGTTTTCTGCCAAGGATTGTAATTTTATGAACCACCGGTTGCCATTAAATTAACGACCATCAAATTAAGGAGGGCACTTATCCATGCCGATCAACATATTTTAAACGTAATTCGGATGGGGTGTGCGATAGACTTACCTCCACGAGGTGCACCCTGGGCAAAATATACTCATACGGCAAAAAGTCTGTTAACCGGCAGTTGACCTACGAATTCAAACTACCATCATCCCACTGTATGTCATATTTGACTACTTTCACGGTACTCATCTCACCTGTTTTCTCCCTTCGTCTTTGAAACACTCTTCTATTCCCCCCCCCCCCCTCCTTAACTTTTTCACTTCGATGTTCCTTCCCTTCTGGGAAACCTGAAGTCAACTAAAGAGCAAATGAAAACCATCAAACCGCCTGCCATTTGATATAAATTAATTAACGTAATTAGGATAAGAACAATATTTTAAGATGGCCTGTAGGAGTTAATTATCGGATATCTCATAAGTGAAACCGCTGAACAATCTTGATAACTCAAATTCAGAGAGCAATTCTCTCTCTTTTTCGTTTATTTAACACTGCCAAAAATGATAAATATTTGTCAATTATAATGAGAAAGGTTAAACGTCACATCTTGTAATAATCTTGAATATTCTATCCTCATAATTCGAATAATTCTCATAACAAATTAAATAATACAAATGAATTACAATCTTAGTCTGCAATACGACATAGAAAAATGAAATAACTTTCTAAAATTTTATAATTCCTATTATCCTACAGCCGAATATTTTCGCGCGCTTGTTAGGTTCTATAAGATCTGTGAATCGGTGAATGTGGGGTAGGGATCCATATTTTCCATTTCAAATCAAGGCCAATTATTAAATTGTAAAATAACTTGCGTGCAAATATTTTATTTTTTAGAATGGAAGACGCAGTGCTTAGCTCGGTGAACCAGCATTTTGAAGAAAAGGATGGGATTGTAAGATTTATTTACGTTCTTTTTTAAAAAATCAGGCTTCTCATAAATCTCTCTCAATCGCTTATGGATGGGGTCTTGCGGAATCTCAGCTGTTTGCTTTTTGTTTTTGTTATTTCATTCCTTTAGCAACTTAGAAAGATACATTGAGAGACATACTGAAGTTAAACCGGTATTTCGCATCAGCGGGTTCCAGTGTATGAACGATGATCAATGGGTAAGATTGCATTCCGCTTCTTGTTCTTTACAAATTTAGTCTTATGTTGTCCGATTAACTACCTCCAATGGTTTGGCAGCGCACAGAGACTTAAAGGAGTTCAAAAAGCATGTGTATTCTATACACAAAAACGAAACAACCGTAATGAAACCTTTTTTATTATTGATTTATTTTTTATTAGAATGTCGACGCTTTAGCTTGCTTTAACAAATCTCTAGCACACGATCCTGTCTCACATCCTTCGTAAATTGACATTCCAAATCGATTATTCATATTTTTAATAGGCTCGTCTCTTTTCCATGGAAATACGCTCCACCCACTTCATCGAATCCGGCCAAAGTCATGAAGATTGCAAATCCGGTACCTTCTCCAGTTAAGTCGCAATCAAGAATGGATCCGATGACTCAAAAAACATCAGTCCCATCAGTGCCCACAGTAGCTCATAGAAAATCGGTTAAAAGACCACCACCGAAATCTCGACTTCAGTCGAGTCTTAAATTTGAACCCAAGACAAGGCTAGTGGAAGATTAGAATAACATGTTTTCTATTTTGACTTTAATGCGTAATGTGCTATTTTTCCTTTTAGTAAACCCGAAAAAGTGCCAGAAAAAGTTGAAGATATTCCAGACCCATTTGCGGATTCAGATGAGGATGTGCTTGAGGAGGAAGCTGAACGTACGTTTCTTAAAATTGATTTCTGATACTATCATTGAACAAATGGGTATTAGCATATATAGGCTAAAATATCCACACGCCCCCCCGGTAATTGATAAATTCATACAGGCGGTTGGACTTCCTTGGTTTGAAATCATCATGAAGATAGTAATATGTTGTCTTAGTGGTAAGTCTAACAGAAATAATGCCATGCAGGTGCCTGGATGCTCATATTAAATTATTCAAAATCTTAAAGATAGTCTCCTAATTTGGTCATTAAATCTTTTATCATTGATAGAATTTACACAAAGTTCATATAATTCAGTCGAGTTTAATGGGTTTATTATAGATCCACGGAAAGTATTGTTGTCTTAGATAAAACTGTCTTTTATGCCTCCTACTTGTTACTACTACACCTCATAGTTGGGCTCGTTCACTTCTTTACATGAAATGTTTAAATCATTGTATAAGTCGATGAATTTTAGTTAAGATGTTGGTCATACAAGTATTGTTGAAACTCATTGTCTGGACCAATGAGAAAACAGGTCACTTCCTTCTACTTGTGTAACTGGCATAAATGACAATTGATTAAAATCTACTAAACCTTATCTTTCATGGCATGTAATGTAACAGATGTAATGGTCTTGACCACCAATCTTTTGAAAACAGAATATTCGAATATGATTATCTGCCCTTGAGAATACTTTAGGCATCTATTTTGAGCATTGACAGAGAGAGTGCTTATCAATTCATTCATCATAGCGAGAATATAGCTATTTCGGTAATCGCTGATATTTCTATTAACATGTTATTTGTTTTCCCAAGTAATGCACAAAAAGCGTCGACGCTTGGTCTTTTCTTCTGATGAGGAAGGTGAAGTCAAGGCGAAAAAGACAGTAGAATCAAATGCTGAAAGTTGCTCAAGCAATGGAGGCGCGAAGGTTCGTCCACTTCATTTGCTTAAGTTTGAAGCCTTTCATCTGTTTTACTTCCAATCTCCATGCGCTCCATTCTTTACCCTTTTAGATTAAAATCGACAGACCTTCCAAATCCGTCTCTAAAATCTCCGCAAGTGCTTCCAAGGCGAACGATAAATGTAACTTTTCATTCAATTTGAATGACCTTCAGGTAGTTTTTACTAGCAAGATATTTTGTGTCAGCGGCTAGTTGCCAAATTTAGTGAACTTGGCCAAATTGGAATTTGATATTAGGGAGGAAATTGTGCGCTTATTTTTAATGTGTTTGTTTTGAATTTGGGCTTATAAGGAAAATTTTTTCGCCGTTTTTCTAGATTATTTCCTTTATTGCTGAGTATTATTATTGCTAAGAGTGCTTTGATTGCCTGTTGCAGCACCGCAGAAGCGAAAGTCATCCAAGAGGTCTAATTCAGAGAAGAAGGAGCTAATTTCAGATGACGATGATCATGATGGAGAAGAAGCGATCAAACTCTCCCCTGCCAAAGGAGTCAAGAAGAAATCCTCTAAGGTAGCCATTTCCAAAGTAAAAGAAGATTCCGATGAAGAAATGTTTGAATTGGCGCCTGCACAGGGCGTGAAGAAGGAAAACTCTCCACCACCACCACCACCATGTCCTGTGAGCACAACTCGCAAACGCCAAGTGACCAAAACCTTCACGGATGACGATGGCTTCTTGAGTATGTAGATTCTATTTTCATTTATCCAGTAGACTGATCTTTGATACCGCAAACAAATTGTTGTTTTCATTTACAGTTACTGAAAAGGTCTGGGAAGAAGTTGATGAGTCTGAACTCCAAGTAGAGGAGACCGAACCTCCTAAACCAGAAACTGCTGTGGAAACCAAAAAGGCTCCGTCATCAGTAACAAATATGGTAAAATGGCACTAGTTGGACTAGCTAAAATTCATATTATTCAAATTTAATCGTCAAATTATCCTTTCTAGGCTAATTCTAAACTGAAGAAGACCAAACAATCAACTCTGATGAGCTTTTTCAGGAAATGAAGATGTTTGATATGAGAATTTACGTCGATGTTCCAATATTTTTACACAAGATGGAAAAAAATATTTTTGATGTTCGAAAATGACTTAGCATCTCCATCTGAAGGAACCCCTTTTTAATCGTTCAATATATTTTGTTAAACATTTATTTAACAAATATTTTTACATGTTTTAAGCTATTTTAACTCTGTGATTGCATTATTTATTGATTGTTATTTTAAATGAGCTTGAAAAGATGTCACTCCTACAATCAAGTCAACATTTAAGCGTTATTTCCTATATTAAAGGAAGAAAATATTAACTAAAATATTTATATCGCCAAGCAACAAATATTTCATCATCACACCTTCTCATTGGCACCGAAATTCCATGTTAATATTAATTTTTTCAAATGGCGGGCTTTGTAATACTTATCATTTGCCCTTTAGCTGATTTCGGGCTTCATAGAGGGAAGGAGGAATATCAAAGTGAGAAAAAGTGGAGAGGAGGGGGGGTGGCCAGAAGAGTGATTCAAAGATGTAAAAGAGACAGACGGACACAAAGGCAGAGAAGAGGTAAGATAAGTATGGTGGAAGTGATCGAATAAGACACAGTGGGATCAAGGTAATTTGAAGTCAGAATTCGACTGCCGGTTTATAGACCTTTTTGCCGTATAAGAATACGCTGCCCGGGGTGCACCACGTGGGGGTAAGTCTATCGTACACCCCTCCATGTCAATGTAAAATTTACATTGAATAGTACTTACTTGTTTACAAGGTTTGTGCATAATTGCGCCAATCTAACAGTAGGATGCATAACTTTAAGGTACCAAACTTGATGAAAAGGGGTCGATATTGGTCACTAGGGGCCTCACAGTTCAAATTTCACTGAATTAGGCCCTATAGAATACATTAACTTTATCAGATCAAGAACACGAGAATTGAGATGAATCTATGAATATTAGAAGGAAGACTAACAACTGCGGTCTTAATGCATGCGCACAGGCTGCTCATTTTGGGAGGAAGTCTGAATCGGAATATACGAAGTGAGGCGCAGCAACGGAGGGATTGAGAGAATGTCAGCCTGAATTGATGAACTCGGTTGCTGGCCGGTCCCCTGGGGCACAGAGTTTGTGGAAAATCAACGTGGAACAATATACTGGCAGTCTGTGACGAGATTTGGCGAAAGTGCTATGGGAAGTCAGTCTATTTCAACGAATGAATTGGCCAGGCACGAGAACTTCCGTTTCTCTCTGGAAAAGTATTATACAAAGGGAGGGGGGGGGGGAATTTTATTCCAGTAAATTGAGACGACCAAAATTCCCATATCGTTCACATGGAATGCTGTGAGACACATGTAGCATATGGATGGTTGCAAAAGCACAAAGAATTCCAACACAGATTTTTCCTTCATTAAGGGAATATATTTAACACACAAATGCCTGTTAAGCTACTAATTTTATCTCACCTAGACATCCATATTGAAATCAAATGATTTTAAAGGCTAGCAGGGTCAGAAGAAGGCGATTCGAGATCAACAACTGTGTATTAGACAACAGCAAAGAGGTAATGGAGGTGGAGCGAGTTGGTTACTTGAAAGTGGTATTGTGAGTAGAGTCTAAATTATTTACTGTTGTAGAAAAAAAACTAAATAAATCTTAACTAAGGTACATCATATAGATAAGGCAAGAAAACACGAAAAGGCATAAAGCCTACGGAATGGCTGCAAAATGGAAATGAGGGCCCAAAAGCGTAAAGATTGCAAATTGAACTATTGAGACCGATGACTAAGCAGCTTGATTTTGCCAATGGTCATATTGATCTCAACGTTACTAACTGATACATTCACATTTCATTAATGCATTGACAATATGATTAATGTACTAAATATTGCTTTATAAACAAAATATGGTCTCGAATACCACTTGCACACGTATGCTTTTAAAACTTGTAGCGGATTGCTACTTTATTAAAGCCTGACTGACTCAGAAATCTCTATGGCAGATCCTCCTACAACTAGCTAGACTCCCAGAACCAGCTAAGCTATAGCCCAGTTATAAAGGAAACAGACGTGTAGCATGGAGCACGTTTACGGGTAAAGTGTACGCGCTGGGAGCTACTCATGGTCAGGATGGGGGATTAGGTTTAACAGAGGTTAATGATTGGTCACCTCCCAATCCTGGCGAGCAGACATGCAGGCATACGATGAAGCACAACGCGATAACGTGTCCCACATGTCTAAGCCAGCTAGATGACATGAGAGATGACCAATTGTTAGCACAACGCGATAACGTGTCCCACAAACTCGTAGAATAATGGATGTGGAACAGCTGGCTGAGGTTCACTAACTGTAAGTGTAGATTTTACACGTCCAAATACGTTACATATTAATTTTAAGCAATTAAAGTTGAACTTGAATTTTGGAAGAACTTCGAGGTGATATTGCAACAAAGTTTATTTTAGACTAGGTTAAATTACTCATGCCGCTAAATCAGTACGAAGGTGGCTAAAAAGCCATGCAAGTTTATTGATAAACAATTTTTCCCACGCAAAAAATGTTCTTTTTAGACATCAGTCCTGTTACACCATCAGTGCCTTGTCGTGACGATGGACATCTATTTACGTAACTGTATTCGCTAACACACACAGCTGGTTCGACTGTGGATACTGTCGTCGAGATCTTGTCGACAGATGTCGTATAGGAGACGACTTTGTCGGTTAAAGTTAATAAGTGCTGATAAGTTGGAATATTTTTTGAATAAATGTCCTGAAGGCTTTGTTTGGTTTAAATATCTGAAGGTCTTTTGAGTAACTAAGGTTGAATTTCTACGTCTAATAAGCAGAGTTTATTTATAGGTAATCGATTTTACGTAAAATTTCCCTAGTTTAAAAACATGTTTGACGGCAAGTTAAAGAAAACACAGAATCATAATTCTAATGAATTTCATCCGCCCCATATTCAAGATGCGAATTCAGTTATGGGAATACTTATCTATAGAAACTAAATGAACTTGATATAAGTAGTAGCACCCGCGCGAACTGATTCATAGGCCTTCTTATTGTCACCATATATGGTGATTCTTCTGACTGATCAAATTATTGACAACTTAGAAAAGCTAAATCAACCTGAAGCCTTTCTGCACCTCATTTAGCACGTAAACCACATTCCACATTGGTCTATGTCAGTTCTGAAGCCTTTCTCCTTTCCCAATTCCTCGTTCCTCCTTTTGAACTTGCCCATTTTCCAGTCGTCATTGTACATTTGTCCAATCCAATCTTCTGTCCTCTCTCGCCTTCAAGGCTGTTGTTCCTGGCCTTATTTAATCTGCCTCTTAAAGTAGCTTACTTAATGATAGAGCTACTTATATCTTTTAATCAGGAAAACTCTCCAGGAATATTACTGAATTTCTTGCTAATTGAGTAACTTTTATAAATTCACATTTATACCTAAAATGTTAGTTTGAAAAGTATTTTACAAGTCAAAATGACATATCATCTACAGTTTAAAATAACAAAGCCGTAATGTCAGTCTAAAAATCGATGCACGAACAGCTGATTGATCGATCATTTAGAATGGCTGGTTCAGTTTAGTTTATTTATTTTGGGTAAAAAGCATGTCTATATTGAAAATAACAGCTCGACAAATCCTCGATAGTCGAGGGAATCCAACAGTTGAAGTCGATGTTATTACTCACAGAGGTTTGGTTTCGTTTTGCTTTTACCGTGATTTTATTACATTTTAAAGTAAAAATAGTTATTTTTATGATAAAATTTATTTTCCTACATCAAACCAAGTTGTAATATCATTTTTAGGTTTATTTCGATCTTCGGTTCCAAGTGGCTCGTCAAAGGGAATTCATGAGGCATTCGAATTAAGGGACAATAATCCGTTGGAATTTAGTGGAAAGGGTGTTCGAAAAGCCGTTAAAAATGTGAATGATATAATCGGACCAGCACTCATCAGGAAGAATTTTATCGTCACTCAACAAGAAGAGATCGATCATTTTATGGTTAAGGAACTGGATGGAACACCTAATAAATGTAAGCAATTGATATAGTTAACCACCAAAATTATTAGGTCGATTAGGAGCGAATGCAATTCTGGGAGTTTCAATGGCTATTCTCAAGGCCGGAGCTGCTGAAAAGGTTCTGGTTAATTCAATGATTGATTGTGATTAACCATTTAGTGTATTCCTCTCTATCGCTATGTAGCAAATATGGCTGGAGTGAAGAAGGTTTCTCTCCCAATACCAGCTTTTAATGTGATTAACGGTGGAAGACATGCGGGCAACGTTCTTCCAATGCAGGAATTTCTTATTTTTCCGGTAGGCGCGAAGTCGTTTTCTGAGGCCCTGCAAATGGGCGCTGAGACATTTCATAAGCTGAAGAATATTATTCTGCGAAGGTATGGAATAGTTGCCTGTAATGTCGGAGATGAGGGTGGTTTTGCTCCGAGTGTCTCTAGTGCAAATGAAGGTAATATAATCAACAACGTTGTTATTATCATAAAAATAATACACTTTCTCAAATCTCACATACTTATTCCTATTAACGTCACTAACTCGGACAGTTATTGTTAATTTCACTTTCATGAGCAAAGGATCATTATGAAAATTGAAGAAATAGTAATTGTTAATGATGGTCAAATTGTGGGTGCGTGCCTTATTTGAACTTAATTCTAAATTTAGGTTTCGCTCGTCTTCTTATGTCACTAAAATGACTATTCATTAGAACGTAAACACCAGCCAATGTAAATAACTTAATTTAATGGTGATTAAAGTTCCTCCCAAACTGGAAATTTAAATACTTTTCTAGAAATTTACCATAGAAATACAAGTTTGGTTGAGGAAGGTAGAGAATGCTATTTCATTCAGTTACCTTGATAAATGCAGGCAACCAGTCATTACCAGCCAATTATGTGTCGCATCTCATCTATTGAATGTCCGGCTCTGTGCGAACTTAACTCGTCTCTAAGCTCATACTAATTCGTATTCAATAATGTCGATTCATGGACACTCCAATTAACTTTGATGAACAGGTTTGGATCGTCTGATTCTATAACACTTAGTACACTAGGAACAGAATGCGAAATGAAGCACCAGAGTAAACAGAGTATTAACGAATGGTTCTGTGTGACTGTTACGTTGTGATATGTAGTGAGAAGAATGGAATTCAGAAATTGATTAACAGAGCTCTACGCAATAATTATTCTCCGGTTAAAACTCGTAAAAGTACTTGGTACTATTGTAGTGATAATAGAAAATATAATAAAAGAAAGTGAGAACAATGCTTTAAACTTGTGGCCACTGAATTGAAAGTGCTCATGTGACAGAGAAAAGTTCAGAAGGCAGGATAATCGATAAACGATAACTAGGCCGGAGATGAGTCATTGATAGAAAGGGCATAAAAAGGTCAGAAAGTGAAGGAAATAGAACGAAACAAAAGAGCAACAGGAGTGTAATTTTTCATCCTTGTTAAGATAATCATGCTTTTGATTATTACAGCTTTGGATTTGCTTATGGAGGCAATCGATGCAGCAAAATATCGTGGGAAAATATTAATCGGAATGAACGTTGCCGCATCTACTTTCTACGAAAATAAGAATTATCAATTAAACTTTAAGGAACCAAAACGTGACTTTCATGGCTTCTATGATTCTGACAAATTAATACAACTCTACAGTCAATTACTAGTCAAGTATCCCATAGTCAGCATTGAGGATCCTTTTGAGCAAGATGACTGGACATCCTGGGCAAAATTCACACAACAATCTAGAATTCAAGTATGTTCAAGCAGCATAATAACCCTCAGTTAACATAAGTGATGCCTTTCATGGTATGCTCTTTATACAAGATTGTGGGCGATGATCTAACAGTAACAAACCCAGAGCGAATGCAAATGGCCATGAAGTTGAGAGCTTGCAATTGCCTTTCGCTGAAGATGAATCAAATCGGCACGTTTTCTGAGGCCTTAGAAGCGACAAAATTAGCTCAATCTCAAGGCTGGAACATAATTGTTTCCCACCGATCTGGTGAGACTGAAGACTCTACTATTGCTGATATCGCTGTTGGACTTAATGCCGGGCAGGTAAGTGAAACTACCTTAACCATTTTTTAATAATATAATTAGTTCTTTTAAATAAATTGCATGGTTAATATCTAACATATAGAGAAAAGTTGGGTAAATAATTTTGTAACCACCACATATTAAGTTTACTTCAATTTTCTGCGCGTCTTAATATGGAGGTAAATAGAATTGAAGGTTTGCTATAGGCTTCGGATGTCGGGCAACACCTGGCGACCGAAAAATAATATGATCTTGACAACAACATCTATAGGCCAGCAGGGAGCATTTTGACACTTAGTCACCAATCGTCACATAGAGACATAGACTATCAGTCATGAATAATGTCAATAGAAAAAATATTTGAATTTAAACACTAATTTGTATACCAATATACTATAGTGGCATTCCCGAGCCACCTCCAAACTGTCCTCGCTACACAAGCGATTGACTTTATTTTCCCTGTTTCCCCAAATCGTATCGTGGCAAAAATGAATAGTTTTATAATTAATTTTTAATAAAATCCAATAATTTAAGACAGTTTGATTTCAGTTAATTTCCTTAAAACAGCTAAATGTACTTCATAACATTTATATGCACTTATTTTTGTATAAAATACCAATATTTTATCAGTAAATAAAAGCGCCATTCCTAGACCACCTCAAATAGAATGGTCGTAACAACGCGTCTATCCATTTTATTTTCTCTACTTTATGGCTTTAAACGAAACATTTTAAGTATTTTATTCTACCCTGTGCTTAAAAATGGAAATTGTTCTCTTTGAAGGTCATAAATATTTCAATTTCTTTTTAAAATGTCTTAATTATCATTTAATGCTTTAATATTTTAGATAAAAACCGGAGCTCCATGCCGATCTGAACGCCTGGCCAAGTACAATCAATTATTGAGAATAGAAGAGGAGTTAAAAAATGACGCTAAATATGCTGGGGAACACTTCATGAAGATATTGCACCCTATTAAATGAAATACGAGAGACAGTATTTGGATATAAGTGGATATCCGATAGTAAATGTATGTTTCTCGTAATTAAACATATTAACTTATAATGACTTGGGATATTGCTGAAGTCAAGCCAATAGCTATGAGAGTTTTGTGCGATTATTTATATCAAGCTAGGGTAAAGTTAATTAGCCAAATTCATACTAAAGTACTAAAAGTTGTAAAAGCGTTATCAGGAAGAACCACAACTGTCATAATAATATGATCTTTGCACAAATGGGTTCATATACGAATGCTGGTCTAAAGCAATAAAGAATGAGATGAAATCATATATTGGCTGTAAGTGCAAGAATCCTGACGTATCGCATGAACAGCTAAAGAAACTTTCTCTTCTACGTAACCTCTTGTGACAGAACTCCTCAAATACCTCATCAACTTCCACAAGGAGAACAATTCAAACAACTAGCCGCTTGGCATGAGGATTGAACTTTAGATGCCAATTATGTCTTATTTAAATGTATAGGTCTTCTTAAAGAATTGATTACCATTGAATGGAGGATTCATTTTCATTTCCATTTTTCAGTTACAGTATCAGGTATACTGTTTGTTAAACATATGCACAAAACATATTTTGCGGTCTCACTCGCTAACTCTTGATTGCATTTGATGTGTTTCCAATTTTCCGTATTAAAATATTGCTATCTTCTCTTAGATGCCTATTATGGCCTTTTATTTCGCAATTTCTTCAATTGTTATTCACTAGTCATTATGCAACAAATGGGCGCCTTCTGAACAAGTATTTTTGATGATGAAAAAATATTTTGCTCTCTAGAAAATATTAATTAACATTTAAAATCAAAAGGTAATGAGAATAACACCAGAATTAATGTGAGGAAAACGAAAATAATAAGACTTCTATTTTCGGTAATATTTAACAATCAAAGTACTGATTGCACGAGCTATCGATTAGTAAAATTGTTTCATACAAACATTTATAAAATAGCCACTAAACACGGGATGCTTTAAATAATGCTATTTGAAAAACAGATAACAGTTCTAATGGGATAAATTTCAGAAACATCTTGCAATATCAAATTATAGGTCATCATATATATATGAATGCTAAACAATTCTAAGTCACTCGAGAAATAAAAAATAAAATAAAGGAACAAAATCAAGTCATTTTAAACAGAGCCGTAAAGGAATAAAAAGTAAATAAACGTGTAAATGTTTAAAAGTATCAACAGGTATTGCAATATTCAATTTGCCGTTAGAACCAATCAGTCTTCTTTGTATTCTTCCAAGGAAGTTCTGTTAAATGGCCAAGAACACAGGTGACACCCGTTTCAGAAAACTTGATGTGGATAACATCGGACAAAGTACTTTCGATGAAGAAACTGTCGACGACACCCATTTAAATCCTCGTGACGTAGAGAATCTACTCAATAGGTTTTATTCTTTAAAAATCCTTATCTACAATTTTGTCTTGTATAACATTTATATTATTCTATAATCTTTTTTTCTCTTTAACTTCTGTAGTGGTAGAAATGAAGATGCAGTCAAGATGGTCATTGATAATGCACCTGTAAATTCCAAAGATAGCGCTCTCAAGGATGCAGTCGCTGCTTTAATACTTCGAGGCATGTCTCAAATGCGCAGTACTCAAATCGACAGTTTCGTTAGCGGTCTCAATCAGGAGCAGCTCGACATTCTCATGAAATATATTTATCGCGGTTTTCAAAATCCGGTAGATATCACACCTGCTGCTCTTCTTACTTGGCACGAAAAGGTTAGCTAGGTGTCACCGTATATTTATCTTCAATAATCCTTTTTTTAGTGAGCGCTTAAATTAATTTAGTATTTTGACGTTTGTTTCATACCGCGATCGCTCTTTTTGTAGTAATAATATGGAAGCAATTTGTTATTGATTTTAGGTCTTGGCGAAGGGAACCGTCAGCTCAATTTGCCGTGTTCTGACAGATAGGCAAGTGGTTTAGTACTGATCAGAATCGAATTCTCAAATCGAAAGTTCCTTATTCCTTCCCGTTTGCAAGAAAAGGTCCAAATTTAACCTAAACTGAAGGTTCTCCTCTTGCATCTAATCCCTTTCACTTTCCTCCTTTCTTATGACTTATTATCAATAAAGCCAAAAGCTTTTCTATTTCATATATTTTTATTAGCTAAAATCGTATCAGGTCGGATGGATAATCATCATATCACAATCACTATTCTCGATCAGAAAATATAGACCTTACTCTGGGTCGTATTCTCGGGCGTTCTGCCAAATTGTGGAACAATTTTCCATACTAGTCTACGATTTTGAGATAGTATTACGATACACCTACATCCGCCGTATTTCAACATTTTGCAATATATTCATTACTTATTACGTGATCATGTTCTCCTTTACTTTGGAATTCGAATCCCTTAAGTAGCAAGCTATCGCCTAGCGTTAGTCTAGAAAAATTGGCTGCTTTGAGTAACCATAACAGCATTCCACTTCCATCTTATAGTTGTCAGTGTGGTATTCTTCAGTGCCTAAGTCGCGAGTAGTAATTCAGCGCACACACTGACCTAATTTTAACAACAGAGCTGAAGCAACTAAAATGATCACGTTTACCGTCTCACTTCCTTCTTAAAAAATAGTGTTCACAATAGAGTGTCCGTATCTATGTGCGTCGCATATGATCTAGTCTAAAGTATGCCATTATTTAGCATGTTTTTTTTGCTTTTATTAATGACGTCAGGTGATCCTTTCATAGAGAAAAGACGTGTATTAGAAATCCCACATTGAGTACATCTGGAGAAAGAAAGGCAAGTAAGTGATATACAATTTGATATACAAGCACACTGAGAAATAGACCCATTTAATGTTAGAAACGGGTTAGAAGAGAGAAAAACATATGTGAAGTGCATAAATGCTAAGCGCCATCAACGCTAAGAGTATTTCGATACATAATCTATTGTTATTATAAAAGGGCAAGAGAAGACAGCTAGTTGTTCTGAAAACAATCGATTAGATGTTTCACGTGACCATGACCTCTAACTGCATTCAAAGTCACCGAAGGGAGTTGAGTGGGTCGTGTGGGTGTGCCATTAGTTCCAAGAGGTTTGGAAACTGATGCAGATCGGCGTGGCGGCTTGCTGGGATTCACAGTTTTGGGAATGACTGTGATCTGACATTCTGGAGGGTTTAAATTCGCTACGGCGGCACGCAAACGGCCTTGACATAAGGAAGCAGCCTCAGAGTTGCCACCTGTTGTCGAAATGGAAGGCAATTTTGGTTGTGGAGCTGGTACTAGTTAGAAGCAAAAAACAGGCCTATTATAGTTGTGATCTGCGAAAATTTTAATAGAAATTTCTCAATTAAAACGTTAATGTCATGAATATACATAATTTGGAGCTAAGTGATATTTTCCAGATTTGCAAATAAGGGACAAACATAAAAAGGTTCGTCGAACAAAAATACCCTAATAATAAAAACTTATCAACTTCCTAGTGGTTTAATGAAATCAAATTTACAAAATTCTAAATAAATCAATCCGTAAACGAGTAACTCACCCTTCTTGGCTGAGGCCAATCTGGCTCCAGTCCCGTTACCCAAGTTATTTGTTCTAAATAATAAAAAAATAAATTATAAACTGGAAGGTTATTAAGCTCATTTAAACAAATGGTCCATACTGAATGAAATCTAAAAGTAGATGCTTCACCTGTTAAAGGACATGAGTCTGTCTTATACATTCCTAGGTAGAGGATTGACTAAATACAAGTTCCCTAGTGTGATATGTTAGTGGAGTGTCCACTTCGCTTGAAACGAACTGTAGTGAGTTGAAAGTGACTCAGATTCATTGCGTCCAATCCAAACCAATCCGCCTGTGGCGTTCCCGTCGATTTCATTTTCTCTCGTGTCTATTGTGCACTAGTTTAAATTGTCAGTAGAGCGGTGTTTATTCGTCATATCACGTGTGGCGGCCCATGTTCTGCATGCGCTGTACACCTCCATACAACAGACTTATGTGCGTCCCCATTGCTCACACAATGAGTGCGTTCTCTCCTCTCCCCCCCCCCCCACCCCACCCCAATGGAAAAAAATGAATGAGTGCACACACCTTTTTGCCTTAAATGAATTCATATGTTAACCAACGTAATTCCTTCATGTGAACTTCTTTCTAATTCAATACACTCTGCATTTAGTCACTCTGTAGTGGGCCCCTATTTGTCCAAACCATGTAATCCCAAAACTACTTCTTTCACTGAGGTTTAGGAAGGGGGGGGGATTATAAAATCCGCAGCGAGTGACCGGCCAAATATTAAAAAGATAAAATGACTTACATCCGCTTGCATTCAACGGACGTTCACACAGTTAACGCTACTTTTAGCATTTCTAAACTCTGCGTGTGTAGAAGTCTCATCCAAATAAAAACTAACCTTAAAGCTGGCTTAGCATCGACTTCTATAGGACCCGTGCTTCTTGGTGGTTTCGACTTCGGAACTTTCACAGAGGGAGAAATAGCATTGGATTTGCGTACTGGGGCCGCTTTCGATGCTTCATTCCGTGCAGCTGTTGACGTTAGAGGTGTTCTATTGGTTTCTTTGTTGGGTTTAGTTTGAATAGTTGATGCCTTTGGAGGTGGCGGATGATGATTCTTTCGGGAGGGAACCTTCGAAATAAAAATTACCGACTGAAAAATACGATAAGCTGCTACAGACCACTTTAACCTCCCTATTCCAGTGATTAAACCCCATTCTTTCTTTCCTTCAGTTGTTTCGGCCCAATTTTACGGCGATATTGCGGTTAGATTGGAAATAGAATGAAGCGCTTTCAATCTTTATAGATTTCCTAGAACGCGAGTACTACTACACTCCTGACTATTCAGGCAAACCGAAAATTTCAGGATTTTGGAGTCATTTTTGTTGGATCTTGGAAAGTATTGCCACATCTTAGTGTTGGTCGCTTCCTATTGAAGTTTGTTTCGTAACACTACAGAACGAATTCCACATTTTACCGATACTACTCACTTTGTGGTCAATACCCCCCCCCCCTCATCGGAGGCCGCATTTTCAACCGATAATGGAGAATGCTTGGATGGTTGAATTTCCGCAAAATTTTCCGAACTTTAGAGTGAAATAACGAGTGCTTGATGTTAAACTCCTCAAACCATATCATTCCAATATAGCAGAGTCTTGAAAATTAGACACTTGACTAAGTTATTTACCCTATTACTATGTTGGATAAATTCAATAATAAATAGGTTCATTAAAAATTACAGGCGCAGTGCCATTCCCATTGGCTTTAGGCGTATTATTAACTTTCGATGAATGGTCAATCGCAATCTCACTGACAAGTTGACAAACAGACATTGTAGATGGGGAGGAAGCAGGAGAAGACGTTCCGGAACAATCTTCACTGCTTGCCAGCGTTGGCAGTCGTCTACCATTCTGCGTAGACCCACCGTTTCCATTTGATGAGAAGTGAGAATGAAAACCTTCCCCTAAATTCAGCAAAGGTCTGAGAATCTCGTCCATTTCCCCAGGAGAAAGTGTTGCCATTGAACGCGTCTTTGCAATATACTGCTCATAAGCACGACCAAAGGTCACTGTATCATATTGTGAGGCCTCTTGGCACTTGATAAATATGGATGCCTCGGGTGGACTATGCCCAGAGCCATTTACGTAACCTTAATTGAGAAAGGAATTAAATTAACAATTCAATTCAGGCTGTATTACTGATTATATCTAAGTAGAGTACCTTTAGGGGGTGAGGTGGGTTTGAATTCTGCTAACTTTACTGGAGAAGGTAAGTCAACTGCAAATCGTTCCTCATTAATCTCAATGGCAATACACCGAAAATCATCCTCATCTTCAAGATCTGCATATCCAAAGTCTTTCTGGTTGGCAGAAGAGTTGGACATAGTTGAATTATGTTGGAAGAGGGTAGATAGAGTAGGGGGACTTGAGGAGTAATTACTGATTGAGGAGGAATGTTTCGCCATCAAGGCATTCCAAGCATCTTGGACCAAAGCGACGTGTTCCGCGTCAGTGTCATTTTCTTCACTAATATCACAGTCATTGTAGGTGCTGTCACTATCACACGTATTGTCAGTTGTTACCGATGGCTGAACCAGGTTTCCATTACTTGTTAGAGACTTTGCCACTGATGAGGAGCGTATTGATCTATTCTTTCGTTTGAATATAGCTGCCAATAAACACAGTTTTTAAAAAGTTAAATCAAACTGAACTGAAAAAGACTATCCCAAATTCCTCTTCTTAAATTATTTATTTTGTTGATAATTGATGTTCCATTCTTAACAAGGTGAACCAAACTGTATACTATTCGTAATAAACTATTCAAGGGAACCTTCTTACATGTTAATACACTTGAGCCTTTTCTTCGGGGAATGTGTTCTTCCAAATCTTCCAAACCATGATGATTCACATCAGAAGACTTGGGTCTGGGGCAAATATCTTCCATATGCAGCATCAAATGCTTTACTTTCTCAGGGATTGCAGAATCGAAGTTCTCCAGAATAACCCTTTTAATCTCTTGACACCAGCGCTGCTTCACTTCAGCATTAACCGCTTGTAGCGTCTTTTGGGCACTTGGATTGTTAAATGGGAGAATGTGGAAGGCCAACGGATCTTTATCTATACACTCGATAAGCACTAGATTATTACACTAAAACGATAAAAATATGTTTACTGAAATATCATAAGTAGACAAAACCCGTCACAGATGCATCATCTATGCTTACACTTATTACGTCACGAATTTCCAGAACAGATTGAAGACTTTCGCCAGAATTTGACTGAAGGTCCGTGAGATTTGGAGCGGAATTATTGCCGGAATAGGAGAACTTTTTTGCTAATAAGATGGCTCGCTCAAAAAGTAGAACCAGGCGGCAAGCATGCTTTTTGGCAGGAAGCCGAAAGACGTCTCGAAGAAGGAGACGACCCCATTGGTCAACGTCAAGGCCACCAGCTCTCAGTTGGTCAATCAAATCATGCTGGCGCTTCGCTTCGTTGATGTGATGAGCCACTTGTACCATACGTTCGAGAGCATTTTGAAGGTGATTGATCGTAGAAGTTTGATCTCCATTGAATATGCTGTGATTTTGATCCAGTCCGGCTATTGTACAGGTTTTAATAAGTTCCTATTTGAGAAAATCATGACATTAGACATAGCCGGAATGGCAACTATATTTAACGTACTGGAAGTCTTGGTATTATGGTTTGGAAATGCTTAATTAATGAATATTAAATCACGCTTAGGAGAAGGTACCTTCCTAATTGGTTAATTCATTTTACATCGTCCCTTTGTTTACGTTTTTAAAGCACTGAATGTATATGAATGAATTTCAATCTCAAGTCATCGAAACAGGTTAACTATTTAAACAGTTTTTAAACTAACGAATGATGGGATTGCACAAGGCGTAGAGTTCTTTAAAACTACAGCTTGATCGGCAAAAATGATAGGAACTTGGAAATGTCTAGGCCATTGGCTATTCTCACCTGAAAAAGTAGTTGATATTTGAGGATACGCTGCACAGGTTTAAGTAGGTAGGAAGCAAGGGGAAGCAGATGTCCCAGTTGGGACTGACACTTGAGAATAGACGTCCATACTTCGGATTGGGTTTGGCTTTCGTGTTCCAGAGTTTGAATAGATCTGCGGTGGACAATAAAGTCAGTAACAGAGGAGTGAAACGTTATTGAATGAACAAAAGCGTATAAAGTAGAGCTCTGCTGATAAAAACCTGTATGTACAACCAAATTGACTTGCAAGAAATTAAAAAAGGACACTTTTAAACAGACAGTCCTCTCTAGTGAGCATTTATTAGCAAGACAACATTGTAGGTGTACGCATGAGGGTAAATTTTAAGATCGGCATTTACAATGGTAGCTCATATGTTAAAGGTTATTGTTGATCTAAAGGACTAAGAAGTAAAAAAAGATTCAATGGCCTGGTTAGTACATCGATTTATTTCCAACGATCTTATGACTTACAGAATGCAATGAAATCTGGTCAAATTGATGGAATGCGAGCATGAATATTGCAATTGATATGAAACGTAAAGACGGCTCTAGTTAAATTAACTTAAGAAAACAAAATACAGAATGATGTGCTATGAGTGTAGAATTTTGCAGAGCAGTCATAAATGCCAAGGGAGGATATATACGAAATCACGAAAAGGACATTAAGAAGAGGATGACTGAATAAGTTTTCATCCATTGTTTTTCATTATTGACACTAACAGATTTTCAACGTCGATCCGACGCTAATGAAATCAGGATAGCAAATGAAAAAAGGATCAAATCATTTTGCCGATCAGCTAGACATAAGGTGAAATCTAGCTTTATTGCATCCTGGACATCCTGATTTAAGGACATCGCGGTGACTCACTTTCTGATCGAGATGACTGACACGTGGCAGCACAAAAATGACATAACCCAAAAGGTCAGTAATACATCTTCCGATCGCCTCCACTCGTCACAGTAACGGTGCATCCTGTACGCAATGGTCCTTCAAAGGCAAACGCCGCGATCGAAGTTTGGAGCGGTATCCAAATACGCACCAAATGCCAACCAACCGCTCACCTCAAAAGATTGTAAGTCAGATGAGAATGTACAATATTTGTGTATATTCAACTCTTCTCCAACCCCCCTCCCCCACTCCCCCTATTGCCTATAAATGCATGAGATAACAATCTCCATCTTTTCATCTTTTTGTTACACTAACTAAGGTGGCAAAAGTTATACACTTGACGAAAATTAATAATTTCAGCGCAAAGCTTATGCAGAAGACTAAAAGCGACACCTTTTATTTTACTCTTTAAGCGCAGACAAAGGTCTAACCACAAGTGATAGCACATTTTACACTTCATTTTAATCAGCGACCTCAATTTGCTGTTTACAGTTGGATTAAGTCGCGATGTCATTAGGTGTTTTAAAGGTTGGGAATATTGTTTTCGATAAACAAGAGAACCAGTATGAGGAAAATATGGATCGAATATCCAAGGAATGTTTTTTCACCTTTCACTGGTCCTAAACTGGTAAGTAAACCCCCCC